TATATATATATATATATATATATATATATATATATATATATATATGGTTGAGTTTCCATGAGACGACTGTTTTCGTGAGACACGTGGGACATGATTTTTACATTTGAAACTTTACAGCAAAACATTGTGAAAGTAAAAAAAAATCGAACATTCACAGTAAAAACACTATAAAAGTTACTTTCACATCGTTTTGCTGTGAAGATTCAAGTGTACAAAAAATGGTCTTACGAATTTCACAAAAACAAACTGGTCTCATGTGATCCCAAGTCTATGTGAAGTTTTAAGTGTAAAATACGAACTTACGGTCTCATGAAACCAATTGGTTTCACGTGAACTCAACTTAATAAAACACAAAAATATGTATTATAATATCATCAACAAATTCTATAAAATTTCTTTAAAATAGAGAATAAAAATTTAAAATATTTAAAAATTAAAATAATAAAAAATATTTTTTTTACATTTAACTTTAATAAGTCATTTATTTTAAAGATTACAACATTAATTGTATTGTTAAAATATCTCATACATTCAGTAAAAATATTATTTTCTCTCATAATTATTTAATTTAAAAAACATTTGGCAGAGTTCTTCATATTTGAAAATTTTCATATTATCTACCTTAGAGACTGTTTGACAGTTGCTGAATGGTTTGTGCAGAATGATTAAATCGTCAGAAAGATTAATTAAGAGACTCTTATAATATAGTACAAAATAAAATATAATTTTTTGTAATAATTCAGAATGAAATTAAGGTGCTGAATGGTTAAGGAAGACCCACGAACAAAATCATCCAGAGGGTTTCAGAACCATTAAAAAACATTTTTTTTTGTCAAACAATATTCACTTTTTAACGATTTAGAGGCTGTCTCTTAACAGAACTACTAAAATCTGTTAGAAATGCTCCCACATACAAACATTATGCAGCAGATGAATAGTACCTGCCTTACATAACAATCTTTTTCCCAAAATACATTTTTACTGCCCAAGGTATTAGGTTGTTGGAAAAACCCGACTGACAAAAGTGAATTTTTACCGTTTGTATAGACATGCCCTAAGAATTGTAAAAAACAGTATAAGATAAAAGTGTATAAGCTGTTGGAACTGCATTTGCAACAGATGAATAATACCTACTATACATAGCGCACTTTCTATTTTACTTAGCCTACTTCTTTATCTTTCTTCCAATATACAGTTCTACCAACCAAGATGTTAGATCGTTGTAGAAAACTGACCGATAAAAGGTGATTTTTACCATCAGTTAGACATGCCATTAGAAGGGTAAAAATAACATTATAAGATAAAAAAAACTGTAGAATCTGTTGGAAATGCTCTCACGTACATACATTTGCAACAGTTGAACAGTACCTGCTATGCATACTGATATTTCTTCCAAAATACCTGGCCAAAATATTAGGTCGTTGGAGAAAAACAAGCAACAAAGAGAGTTTTTACCGACTGGTTAGACATACCCTAAGAACGGTAAAAATAACGTTACAAGTTGAAAATTATAGATACTAACGTTATAAGTTAGAAATTGTAGATATCGTTGGAAATAGCAGATGAACAGTACATGTTATACCTAGCCATCTTCCTCCCAAAAGACAATTTTACGGACCTAGATATTAGGTCTTTGGAAAAAACCACCAATAAAAAGGAATTTTTGCCCACTGGTTAGACATGTCCTGGGAATTAGGGGTGCTCAAAAACCCGACTAACCCGATCAACCCAACCCGATCAACCCAACCCAAGCCAACGCGAAATAACTCAAGCCGAAGCAACCTGATGTCTAATCGAGTTGTAAAATTTTCAAATTGTAGGTATTGGGTTGATATCGAGTTACTGTTATTTGAACTCAACCCAACCCGATGAACCCAATAGCCTTTTTCTTCTTGGATTTAATATGATTGTTGAATTTATATTATTATGTACATTTACCTTCTTCATATATATGTATTTTTAATCTATTCTCCATTTTTATATAACTCATTTGTATATATGTTCAGTAATTGTGAACATATATATGTAAATGTAATATACGTAAGATTTAAGAAGTATGAATAAGTTGTATCAAATGATTGACGATGAAAAAGAAATTACGAGTAGATAAATAACATATTCAAGGTTAAGAGAATATTTTGATGTACCAAAGTATCAACCCGACCAACTCGTACTGTTTGGGTTGAGTTGAGTTGAGTTGAGTTGGTTTAAGATTTTTCAAACCGCAAGCATTGGATTGGGTTGTTCAAATGTCTTCAACCCGATCTACCCGACCCATGAGCACCCCTACTAGGAATGGTAAAAATAACGTTATTAGATTAAAAAAAGTTATAAAATAAGGATTGCATAATCTATTGAAAATGCTTTCACATACAAGTATTTGCAACAAATAAATAGTACCTGCTATATATATATATATATATATATATATATATATACCGATTTTCCTCTGACAATACAGTTTTACCAGCCAAGATATTAGGTCACTAGAGAAAACCAACCAACAAAAGAGAACTTTTACCGACCGGTTAGAGACATATCCTAAGAACGCTAAAAATAACATTATAAGTTAAAAATTATAGATACAAAACTCTCAACGGAGAGGTTTAGGTTCTGGAATTCCATCTCTAGTTGGGGCTTTCAGGTAAAAAACTGTAGATACTGTTGGAATGCATCTGCAGCAGATGAATAATACCTGCTATACATAGTCATCTTCCTCCCAAAAATACAGTCTTATCAGCCAAGATATTAGATCGTTGGAGAAAACCAACCGACAAAAGAGAAACTTTACCGGCCGGTTAATCAGACATGACCCTAAGAACGGTAAAAACAACATTATAAGATAAAAACTGTAGAATCAGTTGGAAATGCTATCACATACAAATATCTGCAACAGAAGAATAGTACCCGTTATACATAGCAATCTTCCTCCGAAAATACAGTTTTTTAGCCAAGATATCAGGCCGTCGAAGAAAACCAACCAAACCAACAAAAGAGAACTTTTACAGACCAGATAGACATACCTTAAGAACGGTAAAAATAACACAACAGTAAGTCAAAAATCATAGATACCATTGGAAATGAATTTGCAGCAGATGAATGGTACCTGCTATACACAGCCATCATCTTTCCAAAATACAGTTTTACCTGTCAAGATATTAGGTCATCGAAGAAAACCTACCAATAAAAGATTATCTTTATTGATGGTTAGACATACCCTAAGAACGATAAAAACAACATTATAAGATAAAAACTGTAGAATCAGTTGGAAATGCTATCACATACAAATATCTGCAACAGATGAATAGTACCCGTTATACATAGCAATCTTCCTCCGAAAATACAGTTTTTCAGCCAAGATATTAGGCCGTCGAAGAAAACCAACCAAACCAACAAAAGAGAACTTTTACCGACCAGATAGACATACCTTAAGAACGGTAAAAATAACACAATAGTAAGTCAAAAATCATAGATACCCTTGGAAATGAATCTGCAGCAGATGAACGGTACCTGCTATATACATCCATCATCTTTCCAAAATACAGTTTTACCTGTCAAGATGTTAGATCGTTGGAGTAAACCAACCGACAAAAGGGAATTTTTACCGTCGGTCAATTAGACATGCCACGAGAACGATAAAAATTTGAAATTATGAAACGATTATTATGAGATGATTAGGAAAAATAAAAGGAAAACGAAAGGTAGGATGAAATGTATTTGGACAATGATGTGTGTTTTTTGGAAGATGTAGTAGGGGGTGTTGTCCTGTAGCCATGAGTGGAGAATTTTCATGCGTAAATCCCTGTAACAAAAGGGGGCACAACTGACAATTCACATACCATGATAAATAATATCAGCAATAAAGAAACCAAGAAAATTATGAAGCGAGATGTAGGGTAAGTTTAAGATAGGACAGCTTTGTAGAGTACCCAAAACACCTCTCTCTCTCTCTCTACTTTCTCTCTCACACAGTCGCACACTAACACGCATATTCATTGATGGAAGGTGAATCAGTGGTGTAAATGGTTCAAATTTTGCTTTTTGGTGGAGAGAAGAACCTGATGCTTTCTTTTTGATGTGTGAGTGGGTGGTGCTGCTGTTTGCTGGTTCTAATCCTCTTCTTCTCCTTCTTCTTAGTTTTTGTTCTTCATCTTCTCTCTTTATATTCTTTCTCATTTTTCCCAAATGACCCAGAAAGAAAAGCTCATAAGATAAGGTTTGATTGGTACTTTTTCTGTGATTTCGTTCTCCAAATTGGTTTCTGGGTGTGTTTGTGTGTGAATCACTTGGTGTTCGTGGTGCGTTTTCTTGAAAAATTCTTCCCTTTTTAAGGATCTTTAATTGTAAGGATGTTTTCATCTTCAAGATTGATACTTCTCTGTGATTTCTTTCTCCAAATTCGTTTCTGTTCGTGTTTATGTGTGAATCAACTGGTTTTCTTGAAAAATTCTTCCCTTTTTTCAGTCTCTTTTTGAGAGGATGTTTTCATCTTCAAGATTGATAACTTTCTGTGATTGCTTTCCTCCAAATTGGTTTCTGTTTGCGTTCATGTGTGAATCAAGTGGTTTTCTTGGTGGGTATTCTTGAAAATCCTTCCCCTTTTCAGTCTCTTTTTGAGGATGTTTTCATCTTCAAGATTTTGTTCATGTTAATTTCCCTCTGTGTATGTGTATGTGTGTGTGGATTAGATTTGATGTTAAAAAAAAGGGCAAAAAATGGGGTTCTTGAATGCATCTTAAGTCTGTAAAAATGAAGCTTTTTTGCTTGTGATTTCATGATCTCTTCAACTTGATTCTTGGGTTCTTCTCATTTTTTTCCAAATCCTCAAACTTATAGACCCAAATCTTGGTGACCCAAATTGGTCCATCTCTCTTTCTCTCTCTATCTCTGATTTTTTTCCTCAGATCTTTATGTGGTCATGCTCTACTGTTCACTACCTAGACCCTAAAGATCTGACTTAAATTTACCCTTTATTTCTCCTTAATCTCCTCTTCCAAACCACCTACAGTTAGATCTTAGTATAGGGATCTTGACTCTTGTGCTTGTTTTTCAAGTGTTCTTCAAGAAAAGTTCAAATCTTTAACAACCCCCCCCCCCCTCCCCAATCTTGGTTTCATTTCTCAATTTCTGTTCTTTTTTATCTGGGGTGATGTTGATGTTAGTGGGTGCTTGTTGTAAACCTTTCCTTTTTCCATTTTTTCACTTGATTTGTGTGAAATATATCCATCAAACTCACATAAAATAACAGCTGTTGGAGCTCTTTTTTCCATAACTTCAATCTTTGCTTGTGGGTTTTGTACTATGCCAACTACTTTGGTTCTTTTCTTGTTCAATTGGATTCTTTAAAAAAGCTTGTAGTTCTTAATTTGATGCTTCAAGATCACATAAAATATGGTCCTATGAATGATGTTTTGGGGTTCTTTTCTTGTAAAGATTCAGTTTCTAACCTTTCTTTAATCATCTGTCACTTGTTTTGCAGATGGGTTTGAGCAAAGATGGTTGGAGTTATCTGATGGTGATGATGATCATCTCTCACCAAGTATGCTTTTAATCAGATAAGTGGGGGCATTTTGTTTGAAATTCTAGAGAGAGAAAGGGGAAGGGGGGCAGTACTAGTGTGTTGTTATATATGCTGAAGGCCAAGTGTAAAGGGGCAGTTGTTGAGAAGGAGAGTTCTTGTGACTGTTTAAACAGCACAAGAAGACATAAGACTATTAGCAGCAGATGATATCCATTGATGGTCATCCACCACCAGATCCTTCATCATCTCATCATCATCATCATCATCAAGAACAACAACAAATCTCTCATGATCATCTCAAGATCAAGATCAACAGTGATGATTATAAAGCTTCTGTTTCTGTTTCTGATTTAGATCTGAAGTCACCAGATGCTGCTGATGATCTTGATGACACCCACAACAACCCACTTCCAAATTTCTCTATAAGGTAGAGAAAACCTAGAAATTTAAACACCCACTTTGATCAAGATTCTTAATTACTCTCGGTGTTGGTGATTTGTTATAATTTGTTTCAAGATTTCCTTTTTTTTACTGGGTTAGATCCAAGGTAAACCCAACTGCTGATTTGTGTTTCTTGACCAGTGGGAGTAAGTACTTGGCTCAGATTTCATGAAAAGATCATCTTGTGTCCCCCAGCCTGGCCTTTGTCTTTGATTTTATTTCTTATCAAGATTGGCCTTTTTGTATTTGATGTGCTTACCCAATCAGTGCTCTTAGATTTCCTTTCTTACTCATTTCAGATTTTAGCTGGTCAAACTATTGTTGACCATTAATCTTGTTTATATATATGTGATTTCATGCCTAATTACTGTTCTGGGGTTCTTTCCTTTCTTACCCATTTCAGGTTTAAGCTGGTCAAACTATTGTTTGACCATAAATCTTGTTTATATATGTGATTTCATGCCTAATCTGTTCTGGGGTTCTTGGATATTGCTTCTTTCTGTTGGTTTTTGGTTGAATCTTGAATGTTTCTGAGATAAAATTGGTTGGGTTGTCTTTCAGGGATCATGTTTTCAGTTTAAGAAGCAAAGATGTTGCTTGTAATTGGCCTTTTTCTCCAAAAAGTTTGCAAATTTGCTTGAGAAATGGAGTGAAGAACTTGTTGCCACCTTTCCAGCCTCTTGTTTTACTGAGGGATAACAACAGATGCAATCTTGAAAACCATTTGGCATCAAATGAAGATGTCGTAAGCGGGTTTGATGGGAAACGCGTGGAAGATCGATCCAAACCGGTCACTTGTGATGCTGCGAAATCGATCTGCGAGCTAACCGTGAGGTCTGTAAGCACGAATTCAAGTGGTTCGAAAGAAAATTACAAGGAATCCAACACGAGATCGAAGGAAAAACCTCCGGCTTCTTGTTCTTCTCAGAAAAAGAGTAGATTGGTTTTGAAATTGAATTCTGGGGTGGAACCGGTTGATCAGTTAGAGATTCCTCCAAACAGTTTCGTCATTTCTGAAACCATGGCGTCGAAAGTTTGCCCGGTTTGTAAGATTTTCTCTTCGTCTTCAAACACAACGTTAAACGCTCATATCGACCAGTGTTTAACCGGGGAGGCGAGTATGAAGTGGACCGACAATCCGAAGGTTATAGTCAAACATAGGATCAAACCTAGGAAAACAAGATTAATGTCGGATATATACGAAACAGCTCCACGTTGTACTGTCGAGGAGCTCGATAGAAGAAACGGTACAAGCTGGGCTACTAATTCTAGTTTTCCCGCTCAAGAATTCCAGTTTCAAGAGGAGAAAGAAGAGCCGAGATTAACGACTACCATCAATCCTGAAGTTGCTGATAACGAAGGTGATGTTTATATCGACACCGATGGCACAAAAGTTCGGATTTTGTCGGTCCCAAAAGCGGGTTCATCGGATAATAATGGAGCTCGGAAGTTACTGAAAGGTGTAAAAGGGTGTAAAATCGTTATAGGTAAGAAGAAAAGCAATTTTTTTAAGGCGAAACATCACCAGAAGTTTCTGAAACTTGGCTTGAATGCCGGAAAATTATGCTCGCCAAAGCCCTCGAAATCTCGTTGTCCTTCTGAGGTAGATTCTAAACTTCTCGATTCTAGTTTTCTTTCTAGATGCATTAGAACGATGATAGTCGTAAATTTGTAGAAATCTTGAAGTTTTTTTTCTCCTTAGATTGTTGAACAGATAAGAAGCAGTGAGAAAGAAGATGTTACCATGGCGGAAGATTGCCGGAAAGAGGAAGGAGGCAGAGAGCCGATGAAAGCTCCGGCGGGTTTGGCCATCATAAGACCGCCGTGGGCGTGCTCGAAGAGAACCGGTCTCGGAAAGAAGTTCAGCGGCAAGCAGCGGAAGATGGAATTACGAAAAGATTTTCTTGTTGAAAGTGAGAAATCTTCTTCCGGATGTGATTTCAGAACTCCAATTTCATCTAATAAGATGGATTCTTCACAAATTCGGAAGAAAACGAGAACTTCATTGCCGTTAACAAAGCCAAGTTTGAAGCTTTTGAGGCAAGAAGACGATGATTCTTCGGGTTCTCGAGATTCATATCCATCCCAACACTCTGATGGTCCTGAAATCAGACCTATGATGAACACGAAGTTTTCATCTTTGAGAAAGAATCTATCTTTTTCGGCATCCAAGACTAGTTTAAAACGGAAATTTTCCGCTTTCAAGAAATCCCATGTTGTTCGTTGCTTACCGAACGAAAAATCAGTTGACGGGTCGTCTCAGAATTCTCCAAAAGGTCAATCTAAAACGGAAGACGACGACACAGGTGCTAGAAAGGAGAGATCAATTACTTCCAAGAGTTCAAATGGAGATCAATCTTCTGTGGGAATTGAAACCACCATCGAGGATGCTTTACGGGATGTAGAATCCGTTAGAAACGAGAATCAACCCGATGGCGATCAAGTTTGTGCTGTTCCAGCCTCGAGAATGATCGATGACGATAGAAATCTAATGGATTTGAGCAATTCTTTTGATCCTGAGTTCTCGAAACTGGTCAGTGATGATAAGCTATATCCGGATCAGATATGTTCGACTAATCGAGCTCCAGACGGGAAAAATATATTCGGAAATGATATCGAAGATGGCACAGAGGATATCGAAAAGAATCAAGATTACTTTCAGGAGGTTGACCCTATTCCGATTCCTGGACCACCGGGATCATTCTTGCCTAGTCCCGGTGGAGATATGGTTTCCGATGAGATTCAACCAATTAGGGTTCCGCCAAGTGAAAACCCGCATAATCTCGATACGATCGATCGAGATTCCATGTCGAATTCTCCGGTTTCAACAGTTTCTAATCCTAGTATGGCAAGATCAGATTCAAGATCTTCAGAAAAGTTATCTTACAGATCTAGTTCTGTTCAAGATGATCAAAGGCCAGGTTTTTCAAGTGTTATGATTGAACCCACTTTCAAGAAATCTTTTCCTAACAGTGGCGGGGCCGGAGGCGGGGGCGATTGGAGACCCGTTGATCATATCGAAAAGGGTCCTTCTCCGACCAGTTTCAAGAACGACCAGCCGTGCTGTTGCTCGAGAAAAGAGACCGTTTCATCGTATTCAGTTGCTTCACACTATCAAGATTCGTCTTCTTTAAGGAAACAACAATCGATCGAGCCATCCAGAAGCCCAAACGGTTTAAACTTCAGATCCGAATCGATGTTCTTGCTAAACAACTACCCGAATTCACAACCACCCGACACCATGGTATTTCCAACGATCACCAAGAAGTTGTCGTCGGCTGCCGGCTTACCCGTTAAGCTGCCGATTTACAGCGATTGCGATTCGGCCGTTAGTCCTTCGAAACCCGTTCTTCGATTGATGGGAAAAAACTTAACCGTCGTCAAGACCGATGACGATGTATCGTCATCATCTTCACAACAGTTTCGACCTCAGATGAATCAACTGGTTCATAGTTCTTTCTCCCATGGCTACCCTCACCGGCCGGTGATCTTTAGCCAGTACCAGAATGGGTCTGAATCTAACCATTTCAATGGCCAACCACCGGTCAATATGAGAAGCTTCATGGCGGATCGTTATTGTCACGCTGTTCCAAATATGGGACCGATGGTACCTCCCGCGAGGTCCTACAATGGCTATAATGGAGTCCATTCACAAACGCCACGTGGCAGAAATCTGTATAATGCTGCTGCATCCAGCTCGAACCCCATTAAAGAAATCATCATCATTGATGATTCCCCTGAAAATGAGGCTGATGATTCTACGCGAAATGATCAATTCTTGAGAAGAAATCAGTTTTACACAATGAACCAATCACAGGGTTCCGATTACCATCCGTACGGTGGCGGTCCGGCGGTGTTTCGTGCCGGTGGTTTTCAAACTTCTTCAGGCATGATGCATATGGGATCATCATCACCATCACCATCGAATTCGACATCCCATTTGCGATCTTCGACTGCATACTATCCTCCGAGTTATCCATGACGACGGATGGATGGATCGATCGAATCTATGCTTAATTACAGATGAGTTTTTTGGTTTCTTATTTCTCTTTAATTTCTAGATTTCTAGAGTTTTAAGAACCTTTTCGGGGAGCTCCAAATAATAAGCGAAGTAATTAAAACACTATTTCATGCTTCATATCTCTCGAAATCAAGAATCCAAAAAGACTCCATTTTTAAGCATCGTTTCGATTACCCACAAGAATTGGTTGATTTCTGGTTTCGAATCCTGTTTTGGGTTCTTTTGAAGATGGGTATTTTGTTTGGAAAACCATGCAGTACTTCATGCATGCATGCATGCATACATACATACATGATACATTCATTCATGTATGTATGTATGTACATGATTTGCATGAAATATAGCCGTTACAACATGATTAGGTCAGTGGAAACACGTTAAAAAGTGAGAGAAAAAAAACACATTTGGACCACCATGAAATGTCTTCTCTAATTGGTACTTATTTACACAGTCCATAGGTGTGTAGGGTACGGGCCCGAAAACTTGTACTCAAAAGGGACGAAACTCGTGTCGGCCGTCTCGTTCAATATCAAAGACCGATCCCGTAACTTGTTTCGTTGCTTTTGCGTACTGTTAGATTTTAATTGAAAAGACTTCAGTGTTGTATCCACGTACATATATGAACAAGGTAATATGATACAATAAACATAAGAAAGTAAATGACACAAAATGACAACACCCTACTATTACATGTGGGGTATTGTTATTCTGTGTTATATTTAGGGAATGATACATAATAAAAACTTTGTATTAGATACAGATGTTATATCTAACGACATGACCCCAAACGAAATAACAAGTGGAGACTAGTATTTCATGTGGGTCTGGTTATTCTTTGTTATCTTAAGAGAACAATCGAGAGTAGAAACTTTGTATTGGATACAACTGTTAAATTATTGATATGAACAAGATAACATGATACAATAAAGTGGACAAATAACATGACCCCACATGAAATAACAAGTGGAGGGAGGTTGGTAGTTCAATTGGGGTCTTGTTATTCCGTGTCATCTTAAGAGAATTATAGTGTAAAAACTTTGTATTACGGTATGAACAAGATAACATGATACAATAAAAATGACAAAGTAAAATGGATATGTCCCCACATGAAATAACAAGGAGAGACTAGTATTTCATGTGGGGTCATGTTATTTTGTGTTACCTATGCAATTTTCTAGACTACATCCTGGTAAATTGCGATCGTCTGAGACTAAGGGGACGTTTATCACACACTTATCCAGAAAGTGCTTACCGGTAAAATTTAACACTATTATGTACTTACCGGGTAAGATTTTAGTCCACCAAAACGATATAGTATACAACAATTAACCTGGTAAGTGCTTACCATGGTAAGAGTCGTCGCTCTCACTTACCGGGTAAGACTCTTGATCTTTGTCTTGCTCTTACTGATAAGATTTTTGGCCCTTACTATATTTATCCGGTGATGTAATATTACTTGATAAACGTTTACCCGAGTAATCGTTTGGTAAACGTCCCCTAAGTCTGGCTATACAATGTGAACACCCGTTATACTTTGTGTTCTTAAGAGAATAATTGAGAGTAAAGACTCTGTATTAGATACAAATGTTATATTATGATATGAACAAGGTAATATAATACAGTAAATAAGGGTGCTCAAAAACCTACCAACCGGATCAACCCAATCCTACCTAACGCTAAATAATTTAACCCGAAGCAACCTGATGTCTAATCGAGTTGTAAAATTTTCAAACCGTAGGTATTGGGTTACTACTATTTGAACTCAACCTAACTTGATGAACCCGATATCTTTTTATTTCTTGGATTTAATATGATTGTTGAATTTCTATTGATATATACACCAGACAATTACACTATCACGTACGCTCTTCGTATACACATATTTTCAATATATTCACATCTCTATATAACTCATTCGTATATATGTTCAGTAACCGTGAACATATATATGTAAATTGAGAAAATTAATTGAATATGATATACGTAAGAAGTATAAATAAGTAGTATCAAATAGTTGATGATGAAAAAAAAAATTATGAGTAGAGAAATAACATGTTCAAGGTTAGAAGAATACTTTAATGTAACAAAGTATCAACATGACCAACCCGACCAATCCGTACGGTTTGAATTGAGGTGGGTTGCACTTTGGTTCGGGTTGGGTTGAATTAAGATTTTTCAAACCGCAAATATTAGGTTGGGTTGCTCAAATGTCTTCAACTCAACCTATGAGCAATCCTAACAGTAAGTATAACAAAGTAAATTGGACAAAGTAACCATACCCCACATGAAATAACAAATAGAGACCGGTATTTCATGTGAGGTTCTGGTATTTTGTGTTATCTTAAGAGAATAATCGAGAGTAGGAACTTTATACTAAATACAACTGTTATATTATGACATAAACAAGATAACATGATACAATACAAATAAAATAAACAGAATAAGAGGAACTAAAATAATAAACAGAGGGGGTAATATTGTAGGGTGTAGAGTATGGAGTTTGATGGGAACGTGTATGGTGTTATTTGCATGGTGAAAGTGGGACACTTTTTATGTGAAATGACGAAAAAGGGCTTGATCTTTGTGGGGGCCACTATCCACATTATTCCATTATAAACTTCCCAACATTCAATACTCGTGTATCAATATGTATTTTAACTTGATTTTTATTTTAGATGATGTATTTTTAAAATGAAAATAAAAATTTTATTCTGTATTTGATTATATTTATCTATAATTAGTTATACAAATTCAAACATGGAGCTTAATAAGTTGTACTTACGCACAATTTACTTGTAATCTTAAATTTTAAGTAATATATTCATCAATAAGCAGTACTTCATGTATAAAAGATGGTTTTAAAGAGTTCTTATCAAATGATTTATCTATACTATATTATAAAGCATTTGATAAAAACTCTTAAAAACTATTTTTTATGTACAAAGTACTGTTTATTGATGCATATTACTTAAAATTCAAAATTACAAGTAAATTGTGCATAAGTACAACTTATTAAAGTTTCATGTTTGAATTCGTGTAACTAACTACAGATAAACATAATCTAATACATGATAAATATCTCATTTTAAATATAAAATATCTAAAATAAAATTAGGATAATCATTAAGTTCTAACGGAAAACTTAATTATTATCTTTATAAAAAATTATATTATTAAACCTAAATTAAATTACTTTGTTACGTAAAATTAAATTATAATAAAAATTTTGAGTTAAAGAAATTGCACAAAACAATAACTTTTAAATAATTAATTTGATATTAATATCCATATACTCTTTTTAAAATTTTATGATATTTTAGAATTTATATTTTATTCAAAAATAAAAACATTATCGTTTTCTCAAAACCACATAAAACCGTATTATATCGATATAGATAAATAATAAAACAGAATATTTAATTGAGATGTGTCTCGATGCATTGCACGAGCACCCTTCTAGTAATATATCATACATATAGAAAAACTTACATAAAACTCCCATCAAATTAGTGTAGGTTTACATATCGTTCACATGTAACCTGCTCAAACATCATTCATGTACATCTATTTACTGCTAACGTATACTTTGAATTACATTTATGTCCAATATTTTATCAGATCAACACGATATGTCGTGCGACATAAATTCCGTCCTTGGTTGCAATGATTTTGCACACTACCTTCCAACTCTCAACATTTAATACTGCTTTGTCCCATCAAGTTAGATTAATTATAGACTTTAACATAAATTATATTATTATAATATTATCTGATTTATCATCCCGATACTCTTTTTTAGAAAAAAAAACTTTTTATAAAAAAATAATAATAACGCAATCTCATTGGTAGAATTGAATAAATAATCATTTTTCTCTGCAATATCAAGTTTTAGGGGTTGTTTGTTTACCTCTTAGTAGTTCTATTAAGATGCAGCTTCTGAATCGTTGAGAGGTGAATTTTGTTTGGCAAAAAAAAGTTTGTCTCTTAATAATTCTAAAACCCTTTGAATGATTTTGTATCATAGGTCTCCCTTAACCATTCAACGTTCTAATTTCATTGTAAACAATTGTCAAACAATTATATTTCATTTTACACTATATTATAAGAGTCTTTTAATTATTCTGACTACTCACCGAACCATAGAATAAGCGAAACTTAATGGGCTTGTAAAGAAGAAATGGTATTTTAAATAATATATTGCTTATTAGTGGCCCAATAGTATTTAAAGTTTTTTGACATTTTGGGCTTTGTTTGTTATAATTAGAGTTCGAGACGGTTAAAATGGGTTCGGCCTGGTACAGGACAGGATGAGGACCGATAGTTCTGACCCTGTTGCACATTTCAAGCAAAACCACGGTTTGGTCCGGCCCGAGACCGGTCTTGAGGAAGACCCAATTACATATTTTAAAACGAAATGTAAATCGTATGTGAAAAATCAATTACAAACGAATTTGTAATCAAACGTAATTTCAAGTTTATTTGATTGACCCAATTACATATTTTTGAAGTGTATTTGAATAATATTTTTATATGCTAAAAAAAATTATATGTTGAAAACCGATTTAAAAAAAAAACGCGACCGGTTTGGGTTTGGCCCAGATCTGGGACTGGTTCTAATGATCGGTTATGGAGTAGCTAGACTGGGCCATGGGTTTTTGACCGTGACTAAGACCATATATAAATTATCAATGCATAATTTGTCGTTTTTTCTAATATAAAAGGGTGCATATAATTTTACTATTTATTTTGGGATGAGCTAAATGCACCCATATAACCACTTACATTGTGTAGCACTGGTAACGTTTAACGGGATGTAACGAAAATCTCATTTTCTCCTGGTTTAAATCCAGGGGTGGGCTAATCCCTTGGGGCCATAGAAGTTCATTTGCGATGACTCCAAGGTTTTCATGGTCGCCAAGGGATTAGTCGGTGTTTGTATCTCAGCTGGAAAACCCACAAAAAGCGGTTTTTATAAGAACTAGCATTGTAAGTTTGTACGTGAGTTTTTAATTTGATGAGTCGGAAGTGAACTGGTAACGAAAAGCGTAAAAATGAGGTGTTTATAGGAACATCCATTGAAGATGCTCTAAATGGACCGTGCCTACTAATTTTCTTTTCATACATATCAATATTACATTGTCTGACAGTTGCTGAATGGTTTGGTGTTGAATGATTATATGGTTAGAATGATTAAAAGACTCTCATGATATAGTGCAAAATAAAATATAATTGTTTGGTAATTGTTTACTATGAAATTAGGGTGTTTAATGGTTAAAAAAGACTCATGATACAAAATCATTCAGATGATTTTAAAACAATTAAGATACAAACTTTTATTTTATCAAATAAAATTCACCTTTTTAACAATTCAAACACTGTTTTTTAATATTACCATTGCTTATTATAAGCATGGCACCTTTTCCATTTTTCTTTCTAACAAATTGTCCAAAGTTATACGGGCGGTGACGCATAGCACGTTACCTCAGTTTCGGTCAAACCCCAGTCAGACGACAATTCAACAATGCAGTCTCCGACGCCGGCAACCACCGCCACCACCTACACCACCATTCCGATCTCAGGAACTGACGTCATTTTCCGATCCTTTCAGAACCTATCCTCCTTCCTCTCCCTCCGACGACCATGGCCAGAATTCATCTCTACCACCGGCTCATTCGACCGCCCCGACTCACTCAACCACGCCGGCACCCGACTTCGCGTCAACTCAAAGTACTTCGGCGTAAATTACGGCATTATCATCACCGCCTGCGCCGCCGTGTCCTTGATCGGAGATCCAACGACGCTACTAGTCTTCGCTTCGGTATTCACCTTATGGCTCGTTCTCTACTTTTTCCGTGAAGATCCGATGGTTGTGTGGGGACACCATGTTCATGATCACCTCGTGACCGCCGGTCTGGTTTTTATTACCGGAATTTCTATTTGGATTATAGGTTTTGTTAGCAATCTTCTGATTGGAATTGGTCTAGGCGTTCTAATCTCTGTCGTTCATGGAGTTTTAAGAAACCCTCAGGGAATTTACCTCGATGAAAATGATGCTGAATTTGAAGGATTGATCTCACCTCCATCTGGTTCTTCTAGGGATTACAGAGGGAATTTCTCCAATTAGTATATTACTTCACATTTCTACTGACTTCTTCCATTATTTTTTATTATTATCGAAAACAGTGATTCTGTGTGATAGTGTTTAATTGATTTGATCTCGTCTTTAGGGTTTAGGGTTGTTGTATTTGAATTTGGGGTTTTAGGGTTTTGTTTTTGCTTTGATTTGTAAAATGTGAACTGAGATTTGATTTACTTGTGTTGTTATAATATACTATCAAATTTTCAACTTGGTTTCGAAGAAGTGGAGAATTCATTTGTTTGTTACGCTGATTCAAGATTGGTGTCATGGATCTCTTTGCTGGAAGAAGCCATACGGGAGAATCGATGAGTATGTATGGCAGGATGTGACACTTTTGAAGGTCATGTTGCTGGAAACAGAGCAAAAAACTGTAGTTTAAGAGGTGGGTATTTTTGACAATGGTGAAAGAGGTCCGCCGGACTTGTATTAGTATCTGGATTGTGATGCTTGGTCGCAATCATGCTCAAACTTTGGCTGCGCAATAAACATTGGTAAAATTAGTTAGAGTGAGGAGTAAGATATGAAATCTATATCAGATTACTTGTTTTATACCATCAATTGCATCATATTTCATCTGTGTTTTAGTAAGTTTGCAACATGAGTTAGAATGAGGAGTAAGATATGAAATCTACATTAGTTTACTTGTGTTGTTTTATACTATCAATTGCATTCTATTTCATCTGTGTTTCAATAAGCTGTTCTTTGTTTAGATGATTCTATTGTTCTTATCTTATTACTGAACTCAACCCTTTTAATCCCATGAAAAGCCAGTAATTGGAACAAGCTTGAAATGAAATTTTGATGTTTATATTGATCAAATGTCAGTAGTTAGCAAGTTATATGATGCTTGCAGGAGAAGTATGTAGTTAGAGGGGTAAATTCATGCTTAATCCATACAGAGTTTAATGGAAAAAGTGGTAAATCAAACAACATGGTAGATTATGTTGTGGGAAAACTGATCTACTGAATGATGTATTGAATCTAATCTGGATTTCATATCTTACTCCTCATTCTAACTAATTTTGCCAATGTTTCTTGAGCAGCCAAAGTTTGAGCATGATTATGACCAAGCATCACGGTCCTGATACTAATACAAGTCCTGCACAACTCTTCACCATTGTCAAAATGCCCACCTCTTAACAGAAGTTTAGCTCTTGTTTCCAGCAATGTAGCCTTCAAAAGCGTCACATCTTGCCAAACATTCTCATCGATTCTCTGGTGTGAGTTCAGCTTCTTCTTCCAACAAAGAGATCCATGACACCAATCTTGAATCTGTGAAACAAACGATTTCTCCACTTCTTCAAGAACATTTGTGCAGACTTTTAGTAGCTCCAATGCCGAGTTGCATCTTGAGAACGTTGTAAACGCCCTGATTGCTAACGGGAGAGCAGTTTTCTTGATGAAAAGAACCATATCGTTGGCCTTTAGTTGGACGAGCGGTGGCTCAGATTTGAAACCGAATACCAGAAAAGCAGAAGCCCAGAGCTGGTCCGAGTTCAAGATCGGGTTTCCCGTTTTCCTTATGCCTTGGATCGTTGCTTTTGCTGTGACCAAACCCCCTTTTAGTTTCGCGAAAGTTTGGGTGATCGGGTGAAACAGAATGTGGCATCCCGGATGTCGGTTTGCTCTTCTCGCAAGGCCGAGCTTGACTAAAACCATGGCTGAATCTTCTTCACTCTTTGAAGTTTGGCTGTCTAGAAAACCAGAACAACAAAAGAAAGCCATATTTGCACATTTGGCCCATTTCTTGAATCTGTTGGTGGAACCGTTTATGTTGTTAGCGGCTGCCGCTAGTAAATTAGCTGAAACCGGCAATGGAGCAAACCAGGCCCCGACTAGAAGCATCTTCGAGGCGAGAACGTTTCGAGTCCCGTTGGCTTCGTGCAAAATAGTAACGGAGAATATCAAGATTTTGAGCAGAAACTTGTTGTTTCCCCAAAATAGTTCATCAAAACGAGACAAATCTTCTTCGATGCGGATGTGATTTATGGCTTCGAAGAGGGTGGAGGGCAAGATCGTGAGTTCAGAAAGCAATGAGCCGATCACCCATAATCCAAAACTCGACCGACCCAATTTCTCATCAAATTTCGTTAGAATCTCGACTTCTTGAGACGGGTATTCTTTCTTTCTTCGTCCTTTCATCAATGAGATAGCGTCTTTTAATGGCAACGGTTGAATTTGCATCGGATCGAACGTCATCACTTTCGGGAGCCGAGTTGTGATGATGATATGCGAACCGCCGGTGTTTCTCGGAATCAAGTCATGTAAATCTTTCCCTTCCCACCAATCTTTTTCCGTTTCAAGATTATCAATGATCAATAGATACGGCATATCGCGAAATAACTGGCGTTTAACCCTCTTGAAGGCTTCGGTTTCTTGCTCATCAAAGCTCCGTATCCTCCCTCGTTCTTTCTCTGCATCTGCACTTACATCTAACCCTAGATTTAGAGATAGATTCAGTATATTTTGCCGGAAATAACGAGCTTCGCCACCGACCCACAAAACCATCTTGTATCTCTGTGAATACCGGTGAGCAAACTCCAATGCCAGCTCCGTCTTCCCCATTCCGGGATCGCCATTGATGCACACAATGCTACTTCCAAAGCTCTTATATTTCCCGCTCTTTGTTTTCTTGTAAGCGAGCCTTTCTGATGTCCCGGGTGTTCCTCCTTTGATCACGTGCATTCCGCTTTCGTTTTCGCAGATATCCCGACATCCGAAAAACATGGTTTCAATCTCAGCCAGCTCTTTTTCTCGTCCAACGAAGAATTTGTTTTTCGGAAAGGGCATTTCATCGACGGTTTCGATTTCGTTCTCGGCAACACTCATTCTCCCGAGCTTTCCCTTCAAGATCCCGGCTGTTCTCGATATGCAGCATCTCCAATTACCGTTGTTTGCTTCGAGCTTAAATTCGTGGGATTTCATCAACCCGTCAATTGCCTCTTTGCATTCTTTAGTGTCGGGATTTCGAGCAAGAAGATCTGCAACTTCGTTCGTATTCATGTCGAAGAACAACGGGATCAGATTCTTTTTTTGAGCGAAGAATCTAATCTCTTCCAAACTGAGATAATTCAACAGGCTGTCCATGGTGACAACCACAACCCCGAATGTAACCGAGCAAATGACCCTATCGGCAATCTCGTGGCTCTGCGAATCCGCATATCTCGATCTATCTGCAACAAAGCAAGCGATTCCCTGAATCTCGAGCTCGGATTTCAGCCACTTGCAGAACCTTATCAAGTTCGGGTTCTGGCCGTGATATCCTACGTAAACATCGCAGCTCCTAAGCTTGGCATTCGCAGGTGATACCGATCCTTTTGTGAAAGAAATCCGAGGTACCGGAAACGAAAATGATATACGTGGTGCTGTTGGGTTATTATCGGAAGCCGGTAAAGGAACACAGTTGACAATTTTGAGCTTGGTTTCGTCGGAAAAATCACATCTTTCCGATGGTGGAGTGTATGAAGTGCTCGGAATATCGTCGTTGTGAGACCCGCAATAGGATACTGGAGTGGATGGGCGAGTAAACGAAGTGGGTGTGGTGGTGGCGGTGGTGGTGGTGGAGGGATTGGTAACTGTTTCGTTTTCTTGAAGAAGATTTGGGTCATCTCCGGTGGCTCTGGGAGATATATATGGTGACTGTAGGGCGGAGACGAAGGCCGAAGACGGCGGCGAGATTAGAGATGGAGAGTTATATGGAGAAGATGAAATTGATGTTGCAGAACTAGGAACAACAATGGTGGTTAATATCTCTTTCCTGGGTTTCTGGGCTGAGTTTGATATCTTGATGGTGAGATTTCTGGTGGCATCAATGGTTGAGATCCCATTTGAAAGCTTTTCCGGTGGTGGTGGTGGTGGTGATTCTTGATTCATATTCAATAAAATCTTCAAGAAATCTCGAAAGGGTTCTTGAAACAGATATCCAAAGAATGGATTTTTATGCAGAAATCACACTCAAATCTAAAGGGGGTTATGACACTGATTCAAGAAAGCAGTTTTTCCGGTGGTGGCGGCGGCGGCAGCGGTGGTGGTTCTTGATTCATATTCTAGAAATCTCAAATGGGTTCTTCAGAAAGATTTCCAAAGGATGGATTTTTATGCAGAAATAACAATCAAATCAAAAGGGGGTGTGACACTGATTCAAGAAAACAGATTTTCTTTTCAAGATTGAAAAATGGCAGAAATGGGAATTCAATCAAGAACAGAAGTAAGATTGCAGAATGCTCAAATAAATGCCGACAGAAGTCAAAAAAGATTTTAAATATGTGATTGTGACCTTGATTCAGAATGCAACAGTGGACTTTTATGAGCATGAAGAAGGGGTTCCATACATGTGAAATCATACATCATCTTCTTTGATTGTGGGTACCCACCAAGCCCCACCATTTTTAACCCTTTGAAAGAACTCAAAACAGTTTCTTGATATGAAAAGCAGGTCTTCACATGTGATTCAGAACTCGAAACAGTTTCTTCAAATGAAGCAGGTATTCACATGTGATTTCTGGGTGAACTTTGAGTCATTCTATGGAAGGAAATCATGAAAAGACTGAAGTTTACCTGCAAATCTGGTTATCCGGTGAACAAGAATTCTCTATCTTTAGATCTTGGTTTGATTTTGAAAATGCACCGGATCCCATCAAAACTATCCAATTAAGGTTTGATTTTGAACATAAAATATTGATTTAAGTAGTTTAAAAAGTGACTGGAGAGAGTGCATGATGGTGTAAACAATGCATTCAAATCTAAATTAATAGTTTTTCTTGGGGTTAGGCAATTTTTTTTGTTTTATATGCTGGCCTGTTTATAATTTGAAATATCTTGGGAATTTACCAAATTAGACACAGAGATTGACTGGAATCTAACATGGGTTTTTGTCCCAGATTGGTCAGAAAAGTAAAATGGAAAGTGGGCTTTGGAGATATGAAAGCTATGAGGTGGTTGGCAATGGTGATCTCTGAGGTATTATTCTTGATGATATATATTATATATTAAATAATATTTTGATTCCTTGAGGGTAAATGTTAAATGTGCTCCCCTTTGTCTTGACATGGGAAGTGTGTTTCTGAATTTGAATACATATTTGATCTTTCAAGTATGGCATGGCTTCCCCACCATCAATTCTGCCTTTTTTCACTATACCAAGTAAGCACCATACCCCTTTGCCCACTTTCATCTTCTTGTTATTTTATCTCTATTTTTCTACACCCAAATTCATTAAAAAAATCGTATTATAGGATCAAGTTAAAGGAAAAACCGTAAAAAAATGAAAACTGAAAAAGATCCTGGTAAATATTAACTGTTCATCTGGACGGTATGCAGTTGTAAGCAATTTGTCCAGCATACATGTTTCTCAGGTAAGTGTTAATTGTTCATCTGGACGCAATTTGTCCAGTATGCATGTTTCTCAGGTCATCTGGAACGGTATGCAGTTGTCCCGTATGCATGTTTCTCAGGTAAGTATTAATTGTTCATCCGGACGGTATGCACTTGTAAGCAATTTATCTGGTATGCATGCACACATGCACATAAACCAAGAAATAACTTTAGTTGCTTGTATGCATGTGTACATACCATATAGATGAATGGTTAACAAACTGTTCCTTGGTTTTTCATTTTTTTGAAGGTTTCCCCTAAATCTCCCTCTACACACACTTGTAGGTTTTTGGTTTAGACAGGTGGATGGAAATAGGGAATGAATTTTCATTTATCCGGTTCAATCTAGGATAAAAGTTTGCGCTTAAGGAGGAATGTGCCCGTTATACCATATAAAACCAAACAGTTTTTTTTTCTTTTTTCATCCTCATTAATTATTGTTTAATATCTCTTACCAAACACCCCTCTTAATAACAATATTTTAAGTTCAAATAAGAATAATAAATGTTATAAGAACTTGTGAATAACTATTTGTGATAAATATCATGGATAATAAAATTCATGATATTGTGTAATATTTATTAATATTTTAAGGTTATTCAATATTAATAACTTATAAAATAGTTTTTTTTTTTTAATATACAATATTTACATACAGCAAATAGACAAATAAACTCACACACCCTTCTCATCTTTGGTGAGATTTGAACTCTTTTTCCTAAGAGATCAAAGATTCACGTACCATTAGGACAAAAGTCTTTTAATAATTTATAAAATAGTTTATTTTCAAGGTTTTTAAATATATATGGTTTTTATTTTAAAAATGTCTTTGTTTAAATATGGATCAAAATGTGTTAGAGATGTACTTTGAGTTTGATGTTATCAATGATGATAATTCATCTATATTTATTATAATTTTTATATTTTAATATATTCTTGTTTGAATATGGGTCAAAATGTGTTGAAATGTAATTTGGTATTACCAATGATTTCGAGGCTATTTGTTTATCTTTTGATAGTTTTATTAAGAGATAGTCTTTGAATCGTTAAGAGGTGAATCTTGTTTGACAAAAAAAATGTCTTTTAATAATTCTAAAACCCTTTGAATGATTTTGTATCTTGGGCTTTCCTTATTTCATTCTGAAGAATTACCAAATGATTATATTTCATTTTGCATTACATCATAAAAGTCTCTTAATCATTCTGACTACTCAATCATTTTTTGGTCTTAAACATTTTTTTGACATAAAAGGCAACGATTTATTGATGATCAGAATCGTTACAAATGAAACGTAATTCATTCAACGACCAGACTTGAGATTTAGTACAAGGTCGCTAAACATTTTATGAACGAATAATCTTTACACTTATAAAATGGTATCATTTCTCAATCGATGTAGAAAAGTATAATAAACCAATAAAATTGATTAAATACGGTTTTCATAATCTATTATTTATTTTTTAGATTCAAACAATAATCGTAACATAAATTACTAATTACATATTTTTCACATTCAAATATGAAAACTAAATAAGCGTCAATAAAAATGGTGTTCCTTTTTCCGTTTTATTGGTTTGTTGTACTTTCCTACTCATTTATTGATACATTGAAAAAGAGACGGTAACGTTTTTGTTTTATCAGTGTACGGATTTATCTGTTCAAAAAAAATGTTCAGGGACCTAATAGTTAGAATAAATACGTTCGTCGGATTTTTCTCGGTTTTAATAAAATCAAGGATTTATTTGTTCAATTTCAAAAAAGTATTTATCATTTCTCAAAAGAACGAATTGCATGAAAAAAGTAACGTACTTTTAACCTGGTTATCATGCTGATGTGGCGAATGATGTGGTATTTAACTTCATATTATTTGTTATTCAACTCAATTTCATCACATCACTCGCCACATCAGCATGATAACCGGTTACCCGGGTACTTAAATGTTTAAAATTTTACATCTTAGGTACCAAAATAAAAGTTTTAAAAGTACGTTATCCAAAATAGGAATCAAATTAAAGTGTATTATTTTTCCATACAATTTGCCCCTTTTAAAAATTAAAAATGTAAAAGAGTTTTGAAGGTGTTTAAATTAATATAAAACCATTATTTCCTTGAATTATGTAACTCTCACACAATTAAATACCAAATAATAATTATGTGTTTTTGTCTTCAATTCTCATTTAATTCCTTATTATTTTGTTTATTAATTCATTTGTTTCTCTCTCTACAATCAAAATCGATTTGGTCCATTTGGTTTTTTATTTGAGTAAATAACAAAAAATCAATAAAATAATAAAAATGTCTCTCATTTAACGGAATTTTTATATGGGCGTTAGAGGAAGGGACCAAATACAGACGTTTTTGTAAACCGCAATAATCATCTTGTAATTCCGAAACTGCATGTTATTTTCAACAACCCATAACGACCAAATTTGTAGTTTATTCACAATCATATTTACCTTTAGAGCATCTTCAACAGATATGCTATATTTTATCATCGTTGGAAATGCTTTAGACAGCTAGATCCTCTAGAGAAAAAGTTGTTATGTCAAAAAAAAATTACAATCAACAAAAAAGGGATCTTTTAAGCCACCCTTAGATTACAACCATTAACTAAAGATTTAACTAACATTCTTTTATTAACCTGGATATCTAACCCGCTATGCGAGCCGACTAATTCCAGGGCGACCATCTGTTTTGCAGATAAGATAGCTCGGAGTCACCGCATTTGAACCTTCATAGCTACAAGGGGATTTTATTCTTCTTTGGATTTGAACTTGGGACCTCTATGTAGTATGTACTTTTGATCTTTGGAGTCAAACTCAAACCAATCAGACACCACCCTTTTGGTTGATTTAACTAACCTTTCTACACATGAGAACTAGAAATAAAAGAGTACATTTGTTTGAGGTGTTTTATTTATTTTATCTGGATATTCAACCCGTTACGCGAGTCATCTAATCCCATAACGATCGTCTGTTTTGCAGGTAACCTGGAGTCACCGCTTTTGAACCTCTATGGCCACAAAAGAATTTTTATTCCTCTTTGGTTTTGAATATGTAACCTCCAGATACTTTTGATATTTCAAACTAATTCTCCTTTTACTAGGTTGGATAGATGGGGGGTTGAGGCATTCTAGAAACCAAAGAGATGGACTTCTTTTATAGGTTCTCTCCACCTATGTGATATATGCTTTAATGCTTAAATAACTTTGAGATGCATTAACTATTTATGTTTAGGAATTGTTTGTTTTTTTCATTTTTAACTCTTAATTACTATTTATGTTTGATTTGTTTAGACGTTTGTAATTTAAATTGTTTGTTTTTTATTATTTTTAGAATCTTTTATCATTTAATAGGGTTTGAATAAATAAGAGGTAAACTAATATCTTATACCTCTTATTTTCTTTTTTCTTTGATTCTCTTTGACTATTGCTTATTTCTCCACTAGGGACACCACAATCCTTTCGTTACCTATATAAAATGCACGTCCCCCCCCCCACACACTCTCTCTCTCTCTCTCTCTCTCTCTCTCTATATATATATATATATATATATACACACACGTATATGTTAGTTTAGAAGATTGATGTGAAACAAGAATTTCTATCGACGATCTATATCTATGATATATTATCTATCAAAAATATCGATCTTTTCACAAACAAACTCACTGTCGGCATTCCCAATAGCATCAGAAGTCTTAAAGGTATCCAAAAGATTCTTACTATGTTCCATTTGTTAAGCAATTGTTGAGATGAATTTCGGCAATGGACATTTTATGAAAAATAAAAGAATTTTGCAAAATGTTTGCACCTGATTTACAAAAACAAATTATTGATTAAGATTTCAGACTTCATACGTTTGTCAGCTTACAAAAACAAACAGTTTAATTGATTCAGATTTCAGCACAATCTCTTATTAATCAGAAGTGAAATAAGACTTTAGACTTCGACATCTCTTAGAAAACAAACGTCACCTTAAAGTTTAATAGATGTACTATTGAAATTTAAAAGTCTTATCAAAATGTTTTATAAGATAAAAACGGGAACAAGAAAAGCCATCAAATCCGAACATTCGTCTTAATCCAATGACTGTGAATAACAGTTTTTTACCAGTTAAAAATTGCATTTATATACACCGCCAAAACCGAACACAACACATAAACTCCCCGATATAAGGATTGAATTTCATTGCAGATATGTTTTCCATCAACTTCCTCCTTTGATCATCGTTCATTTTTACTGTTGATGTATTATTAGTATCAATCGAAGCATTTTTATTGAGCCTTTGTCATCATTGATACATAAATAAATATATTCAAAGCCTGTAAAGTCGTCTGATGTGTTTTTAGCCGAATTTCAAAACGGTTCATGTTAAAATATCGCATATTTCCAAAAGTTTGTTTTTTTGAACATCATATATTCATATGTGAACAAAATCACAACAAAATAATAAATATACAATATATTTAATATACGGGGATGAGGCGGGTCGAGGATCACGCCACCCACCCCTTATCTCTGTCCCGGGTTTTTAACTTTTGGAGATCCCCATCCCCAGTCCCCAATTTTGCAGGGAATCTTCGTTCCCGTTGGGACGGGTACCAGGTGGGGGTGCGTTGAGCGGGGCAGGCGGGCAAACCAGAAATCCGATCGGATCTCAAATATGGAAACTAAGCTCCGAATTTTGAGTTTCAGATTGCTTCAGGTTTAGGTTGATTGGTTTTTATGTTGAGGTTAGTCGTAGTTGGACAACTGGATGTTGATCGGTTCGATTCAGTTCGGTTCTAGACTACCATCCGAGAACCAGCCGATCCAAATTAGACGTTGAAATTTTCAACCCGATCCGATCCAATTACAATTGGATACCCAATTATGATCGATCGTTTATAATTAAATCAGTCGGTTTCAATTGAATCAGTTGATTTTCTGCACACCCTCTGATACCAAATTCACGAGGGGAATCAAGATTTGAGGACAAGAAAGTATGCAAGATGTACAAGTAGTGACTTTTCAATGTACCTTCTATGTGGCTCTCCTGCATAACCCCCTTTTCATCACTAATTTATTCCACTAGTCGCCATCATTTTACGTTTTTTCCATCGCTATAAACTCCCATCTCTCTCTCTAATTTAGGGTTTTCTCTTCTTTCAATCCGATTCCGATCGATCAATCAACCCCCCACAAATCAAAGCTCTCAATTTTCCATCCATGGAGTCAAAGGTACGTTCTTGATACCCAATTCACTTTCAATTTGCACTCAATCGATCCACTCCCACTACACCAACTTCCGAATTTAAGATCTTTTAGGGTTTGGTAATTTAACTGAATCCGATCGATACCCAACTCGAGATCCTCAATTCAATTCGTGTAGATCTTCTTTGCAAGATTTGGTTTCCGAATCCACTTTTTGATCTCGATTTGAGTTCTGGAATCTGGTGTCAGTTAATTCCTTACCTTCGATCTAAATTTATATGTTGGGCAGTAGATTTTAATTATGGATTCAACGGAATTGGGAAAAAATGGTGAAATCAAAGATAATGGTAAGTATGATGGTGAACATATTGATGGTAAATCATTAGATGAGAACATATCGCCGCCACCGCCGTCGCCGCCTACTGCCGCCACGAAAGGGCGGGGGTTGAGGAAATGGCGGAGGATTCCAAGAGAAGCCGGTAAGGAAATGAATAGTAGTTTAGATAGTAATCGGAAAAGGGGTTCGATGTCTTTTCCAATTGGGGTGAAACAAAAGAGCGAAGGGTCGAGTTCTTCGACGAATGCTGTATCGAATGCTTTGGATCGTAATAGTCCGCTTTTGGTAGATTTCGGATCGGATTTTGCGACCGGAGCGGATTCTGAGAACAGCGAGGATCGGAACAGTAGATCTTCGACGGCAGCTAGTGTTCCGAGAGCAAAGAATTTGGAAACAGTGAGGATTTTGAGTGGTACGAATTCGGGGATTTCGGTACAATCTGGTGATCAGTCGGGGAAAGGTCGAAGTGTAACGAATAAGAAGGCGAGAGGGGTTAGAATCAAGAAGGAAAACTCGTTATCGAGTGTGGAGTCTGATTCCCGAAGCTCAAACTTTGTGTTCGCGAAGGGTAGTAATGGTAGACAGAGTGGTATGTCAGGAAACTATGATGAAGATTATAGTGACGATGCTCGAAATGGTGATCGATGTTTGAATGAGGAAGGTCGGGATGCGAACGAGGGTGATTCCGAAGAGATTTCGCGTGAAGATTTGGGAGCAGAGAATTCTTGGGAGGTGAAGGAAGAAAAGGTCGATGATCCTGTGGAGTCCGGGGATCGGGATGATCTGGCGGAATCTGTGATGCCGCTTCATTTGGCTCAAGAAGCACTCGAGAGAGGTAGCGTTTCGTTTATCTATGTTTGTACATGATTGTTTGATAGTGGCTTAATGATAGAAAGTGACTTATTCAATGAGCTTCTAGAAGATAGCTTTATGCAGAAAGCCAAGTTTTTCCCAAACCTACCCCTTCCAATTAAAGACATGCACCTTCCATCTATGAAAACACCCTCCCATATAGGCATATAGAAACCTTTCCAATCTATACACATAGATTAATCCACACAAACAATTTTGCCCATACATGACTTGGGGGTTGTTTGGTTGGTTTTTTTATTAAGTCTTGTATGGATAAATTTGTTTGCGTAGATTAATCTGTATGTGGGATTGGGTTCCGGTGAGAAGGAGAGTTAAAGGTGAGAAGCGTAAGAAGGGATCTCCACCCTTAGATGCACATTAGGATGAGATGCACCGAATCAATCCTTGTATCAAGCGCGAGTTATAGGTGGGTTTGAGATTAAAGGTGATCAAGGGTCCAGATCTCTTCTTACGCTTCTCACACGATCCTTCGCCTCTATCTATATAGATTGGGAAGGTTTTTTCATAGATGAAAGGAGAGTACTTTTTAATTGGGAGGGACAGGTTTAGAAAGAACTTGGCTTTCTGCATAGAGCTTCCCCCTAGAAGCTTATTGAATCAGCCACTTTACATATCACTAAGCCACTACCAAACAGTCATGTATAGCTGACCAAGTAAGTTGCGAGTCTCGTTAAGCTGCAAACAAACACGGGAAAACCAACCAAACAGCCCCTTAGCATTGAATGTCTTCTTCTTTCCTCCGTTTGCTGATCCATAACACGACTACTTTATAATATTACACAACTTTTTTCGATTAATCGTCGTTATTGCTTAGCAGAAGTCCAGAAACTGAGGGATGTCGGTAAAGAGGATCCCTTGTCCAACGACACCAAGATCTTCGAGCTTGAATCCATCTTGAACTTTGGAAACATGAAGATCGAGCACGACGAAATCTTGAAACAACGAATTGCAGCCGAGATCGAATTTCTAGTCATATCGACAACAATCCAGAACCTGAAGACGGGTTGCAAAGATCAAACCAATCTTATGGTACAACAAAAGAACGTAGCCGCACCAGTATCAGTATCAGTACCTGTACCTGAAGCGGTGAAGGTTGAAGATGAAGGTGAAACCGCAAGAAACCTGCGAAAAAGCGTACGCAGATACGGTTTTTGGTTCATAATTCAATTGGTGTTGTTTGTTGTAGCTTTGTATCTGTTGGTATTGCAGATTTCATCCCGAGATACGAAGGTTTTCCCCACTTAATTGTATCACCAAAACCAACACTTAATTTGTTAGATCAGTTGCTGATCTTTTGTTTGTAATATGACTTTTGTAGCTCTCATTCATTTATGTATCAATTTTTTTTTTTTAAGTTGCGGGTTTTTGAAGAAGTTAAACCATTCTGACTTATAATAAGTTGATAAGTGCTTTTGTAGAAAAGTACAAGTAAGCAATCCCAAACACCCCTTTAGTGTTAAATAGAAAATGGCAGTTTAGAAACGGTTCTGAATCAATGGTCTGAATGACATAAAATTATCATTTTACTTTCAGTCTTGTGTTTGATGAAAATTAACGTCTGATAGAAATTTCTAAATGTAAAATATAAAATAATTAATGGTTCAAGCCAATGCATGATATCATATCAATCCAAACAAGCATGACGATTGTTTGTTCAAGTTTTGGTATAACAAAACATCACATGAAACGCAAGTTCAAACCCAATATGTTGAGTACGTCTAATTTGAAGCATTTAACACCAATCGTTTGCAATCTCATTACGCAAATTAGTTATGTACTCATTGTCTTAGGGATCCCCAAGGCGTTGCATCCGTTTCTTCCATGAACGTGGCTTAAGAACCGCTTCACGCACCAGCCACAATATTCACATAAGCCTTAACAACTGGGCCACCGTTCCATTTTTTCCGGCGAACTGGTCAAACTCCATTCTCCTCCTGTTGAACACCACTTTTTAAAGCCGGACGGCCTCTCCTGCCGGTCTTCTTCAGCGCCGGTAGAAACTTCGTCAAATCAACGACATCGCCAACGTTAAACTTCGAACAATCGGATTCCAGTAAATCTGAAACCGGCAAGACTGGAAAAAGTGTAGGACAAACAATGACGATCGCTTTATAGGGTTCCAGCGGCAGAATATCGTGCCAATGAAGATCAGGATGACCCCTCATATGAACAAAAAGGGATTTCATGCTCGGAAAAGACTTCCGACACATGAAACAAGTTGGTATACCGTCGCCATCGGCACAGGGTAGATAATATCGATCCGTTCCCTCCATCTGCGTGCACGAAAACAAGAACATATACAACAAAATCAGATTCATATGAACTTAAACTTGATCAAACTTTTCTTCTATAAACACCATAGACTACGGTTGTTCATGGACGGGACCACCCGTTAGACCCGACCCATCTAGCCCGCTAGAAATACGGGCTTGGACAACCATTATCGAGAAAATGGACGGGTCCAGGTTAATTTATTCATTAAAATTAACGGACAGACATGAGCAACGTTCAAATCCAATGAGGAATAAAAATCCCCTTGTGGCCACGGAGGTCCAAATGCGATGACTCCGGGCTATCTGCAAAGCAGGTGGTGGCTCGTTTATGTTTTATAATTAATATTTTTTACCATTAATTAAAATTATACTAGCATATTTTAAAATTAGATTATTAAAGTTATAGGATGAGAGCTGAGACTCTGGTTTTTCTTGAGAACCCAAACGACTCTGCATTATCTTTGTTAGCATCTTTATGCCAAAAGTCCTAATCGATCAACTATGGATAGAGTCACTAGTTGCTTAAAGTTTTAATTGCAACGGTGTTTTTTATAAACTTTTTGGTTCTACATTTGTTAATTAAGAGTTACATTTTTTAGGCTCGTTAGCCTGTGGGAAAGCCCGGCCCGTTTATAGGGCGGACAATGGCAAGTTGTCAAGCCCGAAAAAAAGGCTTAGGTTTACAATATTAGGCTCGTTGGACAAAAAAAAAAAAAAAAACCAGACCCGCAAATGATCACCTCTACCGTAGAGGTTCCAATCGTTTTGGAGGACGTTTTACAACTACAACTTTCGATTACAATGCAATATGAGATAACAAAGATATATATGTATATATATATATATACACACACAGAGATTGATGAGGCACAGGGACGTTACAGTCTTTTTAAAGAAACTGTTAAACCTAAAACTTTCGATTACACTGCAACATGAGATAACAAAGATATATATAAATTACAGATACTACTTTTGTTTTCTGGTAGAAATTAAAGTGACACTGAGGATTGTAGTTTTTACGTTCATTGATGAATAACCCTAAACAATGTACGTAACATTAGGCCTTAACATTGTAAAGGCATCATTTAAAATCACACATTTAACATATTAAAGAACGGTCCTCATCGTAAATAAAATTTACAAAGAAGAAGATGGGTTGTTCGAAGAATCACGTACCTTTTTTTATTAACCTCGATATTTAACCCGTTATACGAACCAACTAATCTCAGGATGACCACCCGTTTTGCAGATAGTCCGGAGTCACCGTATTTGAACCTCCTTGCCGCAAGAGGATTTTTATTCCTCCTTGGATTCGAATCCAGGACCTTGAATCCTTGAAACACAGTACACCTTTTGTTGGTTTTCCGGCGACGTTTATTTCTGTAGTGAAGATGGATTTGCACGGCGGTGGTGGGTGGGAGTGATGGTCAAGTTATACACGTTTTGATCGAGATATATGATATATATATATATATATATATATATAATATATATAAAATATATATATATATATATATAATATTAAATGAATTTTTATTCAAAAATATATGGATTTATATAAAAAGAATTGAGGAAGTAGACACCAACAGGGATCCTTGGCGCAATGGTAGCGCGTCTGACTCCAGATCAGAAGGTTGCGTGTTCGATTCACGTAGGGTTCAAACCCTAAAGTTGGGTCCTATTTTTGCTCTTATTTTTTTTATTTTTTTTAATCACAATTATCAACTTAATACTGATGATTAAGGGCAAATTGCATGAAAAAATAATATATTTTAACTTGATTCCTATTTTGGATAACGTACTTTGAAAACTTCAATTTTGGTATCTAAGATGTAAAATTTTAAAATTTTAATTATCCAGATAACCGGTCGAACCATTAACCTTTTACTAAGTTGATGTGGTGAGTAATGTGATATCCAATTTAATATTATTTACCATTCAACTCAATTATCTATACTATATTATAAAACATTTGACAAAAACTCTTGAAAATCATTTCTTATGCATAAAGTATTGTTTATTGATGCATATTACTTAAAATTCAAGATTACAAGTGATTTTACTTAAGTACTACTTATTAAAGCTACATTTTTAAATTTGTGTAATTAACTGCAGATAAACATAATCAAATACAGGATAAACATCTATTTTAAATATAGAAAATCTAAAATATAATTAAGATATTCATTGAGTTTCTAACATAATGTTTAATTATTATCTTTAATAAAAATTATATTATTAAACCAAAAATAAATTACTTTGTTATTAGACCTACATTAAATTATTTATAATAAAAATTGAATTAAAGAAGTTACACCAAAAAACGAGAACCATTAAATAGTTAATTTAATACTAATATCGATTTTATTTTTTTTCCAATTTTTTATGCTCTATTAAAATTTATATTTCATTCAAAAATAAAAACATTATCGTTTTCTCAAAACAAAATAAAATCGTATTATATCAATAAAAACAAAGAATAAAAACTAACTATTAAAATTGAGATTTATCTCGCTCCATTATATGAGTACCCTTCTAATATATATAAATAGATACAGAAAAAGACAATATGGAGTAAAAGTCGCATGTATTTGCAGAAAAAATGAAAAATTGTAAGATGTTCAACTACCCACATTTTGTTTTTATAATAAATTAAATAATATTTTAATGATTAAAAAAACTCTTTATGATATTTACACGTGAGAATTGTAAACAGATGTAAATCTAAAATATAATTTTAATATTTTTATATTATAAAACGGTTGATAGAAACTCATAAATCATTTTTTTATGTATGAAATACTGTTAATTAATGCATGTCACGTAGAATTTAAGATTACAAGAAATTGTACCTAAATACAACTTATTAAAGTTTCATGTTTGAATTTATGTAACTAACTGTTGATAAACATGATCATATATTGGATAAATATTCATTTTAAATATACAAAATTCAAAATATAATTAAAGATAATCATTGAGTTTTAACAGAATGTTTAATTATTATCTTTATAAAAAATTATATTATTGAATCAAAAATAAATTACTTTGTTATTAAACATGAATTAAATTAAAGAAAATTACCAAAAAAAACAAGAACTATTAAATAGTTAATTTGATACTAATATCGATTTATTTTTTTCAAATTTTTATACTATCTTCAAATTTATATTTCATTCAAAAATAAAAACATTATCGTTTTCTCAAAACCACATAAAATCATATTATATCGATAGAAACAAAGAATAAAAAGTAAACATTAAAATAAAGATTTATCTCGTTGTATTGCACGAGTACCCTTCTAGTTATATTATAAAGCATTTGACAAAAACTCTTAAAAACTATTTTTTATGCATGAAGTACTGTTAATTAATGCATATTACTTAAAATTTAATATTACAAGTAATTTTACGTAAATACAACTTATTAAAGTTTCATGTTTGAATTCGTGTAACTAACTGCTGATAAATATAATTAAATACATGAAAAACATCTTATTTTAAATATAAAAAAAATCTACAATATAATTAAGATAATAATTGAGTTATCACATAATACTAAGTTATTATCTTTATAAAATATTACTAGAAGCGTACTCGCGCAATGCAGCGAGATACATCGTGTTTTTAATATTTCATTTTATT